ACCTGACAACAACCTCCTTGAAATGTCAGCGCTTATGGTGGAACGGGGCTTTTTATGAGGCAGCCACCTGTTCCCCTTGCATTACCTCATTGCTACTCGAATCAACTACTGTATCCCCAGCTGTAAAGTAGTTTTAATTAAAATTATTTATTGTTCAGTACTGATTTGTCCCCTATTTTGGGTGTATCTTAGAAGATAATATTTTTTCTTTACCACTTTATCACTGGGCTTACACTTTAAGGGACTGTACTCACTGTTGTCACTGGGATCAGAATAGAGTATCAGGATGTGGATTTTAACTGAGCAATGACGTATGAACAATGCATTTTTGAGCTTTGTTTTGCATATTTAGTTATACCTCTGACAACTGAAGGAGGAGTGCCCTGGCTCCAAGCCATATCTCTCAGTAATAATTTTTTTTCAGATCCTTGGGAAATGGCTTCTCCAATGTGTTGTGCATGTTCTCTTGACGTCTTATTGCAGTTTCTAGGTCACTGAGCTAAGAAAAGACTATGGGTGCCGCTAAAGTTAAAGGAGAACCATGTCTCCTTAAAGGAGAACCAGCCACAGGCTGTGCCAGGTTGATGGTACTTAGAGAAATCAATTATTGTCATGTCTGTCTTCATGCTGTGCCAGATCGTTTAAAGTTGAAGAAATTATGTTAGCTTTCACTCCATCTGCAGGAGTTTGCGTGCTCCTGCTTTCAGGCCACCTGTGATGAATAGAGGACATTGCTTACTGATCTGTCAGTTATTGCAAATCTGTGCTGGGAAGCCAGAGGGGCTCTCTATCAGGTCTTAGCTGGCATCCATTAGCTGTTGGGCGGGGGGATAGGTCATAATATTTCAGGTTCTTTTAAAGGCTGAAGGGTGAAAGCAGAAGCACAAGGAAGTGGAGATGTCTCAGTGTGCAGGTGGAGGTCAGTCTTGACTTTGCCAGCCTGGAGAAACTGCTTCACGCTCACTGTGGGGGTGTTTATCTGGAACGAGCTGCCATGGAGGGCGCGTGGTCCCATGGCTCCAGCCTGAGGAGCTCTTCTCTCCAGTGCCACTGCTGGAGCTGGCTGTGCCCGAGAGGTGAGCAGGCAGGAGAGCTGCAGCGCTCTCCTGGTTGTGTTGCTGTATCCATACAGGGGAGGGAACCTCAGCCCCTGTGTGGGTACAGCATTCCTGAAAAAACCCTGGAAGTTTACTTCAGCAAACTAATCCTCCAGGACTAAGAGATGTTTGAAGGGCTCCGTTCTGCAAGTCCCCCAAAGGGATGGTGCAGGATCAGGGGCGGGAGGGGCTCTGGGAGCCCCAAGCCCTTGCTCTCCTCTGCCCTGTGTGGAGCAGAAGTCCATAGGCTGGGTGGAATGATGAGGAACTGAGCTCTGGCCAAACAAAACATGCAGAAAATACTCTCCGAAATTCCTCTTCCTGCCCTCTCATCCCTCTGTTCTCAGTTCACCTCTGCAGCCTGCCTGTGGAAAAGGAGTGCTGCTGCCAGCAGGGGAGGTTTCAGTCTTTCATTGGGGAAAGGGAGTGGAGCCTGGCCTCTTCCACCTGCAAAAATTAATACTTGTCCTTTCTGCCAAGAGATTAAGTTGAACTCTTGGCACCTGCCAGATCCAGTGGAGCAACAGCTGGTGGTGGATGTGTCACCTGTCTTCAGAGGAGAGGCGCTGGGGCAGGGAGCAGGGGCGAGGGTGCTGTCTTGCCTGGGCGCTGCAGCTCCCCGCACCTGGGGCAGCGTGGCACTCCACTGTCCTCCGGCAGGCAAAGCCACCTTGCGAGAGTGACAGGCTGGCGGTACACACACAGCTCCTCTCTGACATCCAGAAATGATCCTTGCTGAGGTGCAAAAGCAGCTTTTTTTCCCCCCAGACCCTCAGGAGCTGAGCCTGAGCCTCAGGCGCCATCGTCACCTGGTGCTGTGCCTGCACCCGCTGCCCCGGGGCAGGTGGCAACAGCCCACAAGAGCTGCGTGGGCAGGAGGCGGCTGCTCTGTGGGGCGTGGACGCAGGCGGTGTAGCTGGGGACAGGTGGTTTTGGCTGGCTGACAGCCGTGGAGAGGTCAGAGGGAGGGGGACTGCAGGACGGCAGGCAGCTGTCTGCATCACGGGGAGCCTTGGCAGCTGCCTGCGCTCGCCAGTCGTGCCGTACGCCAGATGGAGTAGGTGGGCACCGAGGAGCAGGCCCCCGCTGCCGCTCCCCTTCTGCAGGTCTGCGTGGTGGCAGGGCATGGGTGGCCCCGCACGATTATTCTCCGGTGGACAAGGGAGTGCTGTGCTCAGGGTGTGAGGGTCCTTTATGTTTTGTTGGAAAAAGACGCGCACAAAAATAAATGCAGGGACCAGGATAAATTCTGCAAGCAGAAATACTTGTGAAATGCGCACTGGGCCTGTCACAAGCTTCGTTTAAATACGGGTTCACTGTGGTCACCTGGGTAGCTCCAGTACAGGAGCTGGGTTTACACTGTACTTTAAAGCTAAGCATGTTGCAGATGCTTTTCTGAGCCAAGATCTGTCACTCGCCTCTCTCCGTGTCCCCCGCGGGCTCTGGCAGGGTACCAGATAGCTTTGTTTTCTAGCTGCTGGTGGCTGTTCTCTCTGCCACTGGGTGGCTGGCCCGCATCGCCCCAGGGGTGTTTCCTGCGCAGGCGACGCTGCACTCCCGCTTTCCAGCCAAAGCACTTCAGCTCCCTCCACTCCAAAAGGCTACGCAGTGCAGCCACGGGTGTATGTGGGTGCAGGCAAACCACCCGGCTGCTCCCTGGTTCTCATCAGTACTGTGGAAAGTCCCACGTTTCAGGGCCCAGCTGTGTGACTCATTTGTGCAGCAGCTCCCGGGATGTTGCAGCCCGGTTTGTGCTGTGGGAGGTTACAGTGCTCCACGGCCACAGCTGGATAAGCTGGGACAAGCGGTGCCGGGGCGTGCCAGTAAAATAGAGACAAAGTTGTGTTCAGGAACTGATGGCCTGCGCAGGTTACATGCTCTGGAGCTTCATCATGTAATTCACGTTCACAAGTGCTCTGTCTGGGGAAGGAGAGGTCGCAGCTCCTTTCCTAGCTGCACCTCCTCGTTTCTGTGTAAATGCTCTGGTTTCGGAAGGTCTTCAGCTACAGCCTATGTTAGTGTTCAACGTGCTCTTACCTGTCGTCTTTTCAGTTGCTATTCAGTCATGGTTATTTAAACCCTGAGATGAAAAATAAACTATTCTTTTGTTTGCCTGTCCCTCTGCTTTGTTGCATCCCCTCTCGATCACTGAGGCGGGAGACGGGGGTGCCTTCGCCGCCTTCTCCCAGGGATGAAGCATGTGGCACCCGTGCGGTGCGGCGGGACAAAGCCTCCATCTCCTGGCGGCAGAGCCGCATGGCAGCCGGGCGCCGGTTTCTGTCTGCAGGAGTTGTCCCAGAAAGGAGGCAGAAAGCTCGCCGAGGAAGCAGAGCGAAGCTTTGGCGTGCATGGTGTTTCCTGCAAGGCTCAGCCCCTCTGGCTGCAGTGGAGCACGGCCTTTATCCACAGGCATCTCAGGGCTTGTTCTGGCTGCTGAGCAGGGAAGCGGTCTCCGTCTGGGGTCTTTCTCTGAGACCTAGAAATTTTTGTCCTGG